GTGTGTGTGTGTGTGTGTGTGTGTGTGTGTGTGTGTGTGTGTCACAGGGGGCAGCACTGTGTGTGTGTTGCACTGTGGGGGGCAGCACTATGTGTGTGTGTGTATGTGTTTGTGTCACTGTGAGGGCAGCATAGTATATGAGTGTGTGTGTGATGGGGCAGCATTGTGTGTGTGTGTGTGTGTTACTGGGAGGGCAGGACCGTGTGTGTGTGGGCATTCGGGGGCAGTACCGTGTGTGGGGGGGCATTGGGTGGGCAGTACCGTGTGTGTGTGTTACTGGGAGGGCAGCACCGTGGGGGGGGCACTGGGGACGCAGGCGTATCTCACTGCGACGTGTGAGCTGCGAAAGCCTGGGGGCCACAGGGCTGTGACTGTGCGTCTCTGTGGTGTTGTGTCATTGTGGGTCGCAGCCGGCACCCGTGGGTCCGTCCTGGTGTGTACATGTGTGTTGGCCGGGTGTAGCTTTTTCTACCCACAAACACAGGTGCCTCCCCCTCCCTGGCTCAGCTCTCCATGGGGCGAAGTCACCCCATCCTCAGCAGGGACCCAGGGGTGTGTGTGTGTGTGTGTGTGTGTGTGTGTGTGTGTAACCCGAGCACCTGTGAATCCAGCCGTTATTTATAGACCAGGGCCCTGCGCAGCTGGGCACGGCCCAGGCCCATCAATCCAAGGCCCAGACGAGGGGTCTCCGTGTAACTAGCCGCCCCGCCCCAGAGGTGGCTGCATCTCAGCGCTGGGCGAGGTGGCTCCGTGTAACCAGCCGCCCTGCCCCAGAGGTGGCCGCATCTCAGTGCCAGGCGAGGGGTCCCCATATAACCGGCCGTCCTGCCCCAGAGGTGGCTGCATCTCAGCGCCGGGCGAGGGGTCCCTGGGTAACCAGCCGCCCCACCCCAGAGGTGGCTGCATCTCAGCGCTGGGCGAGGGGTCCCTGTGTAACCGGCCGCCCCGCCCCAGAGGTGGCTGCATCTCAGCGCTGGGCGAGGGGTCCCTGGGTAACCGGCCGCCCCGCTCCAGAGGTGACTGCATCTCAGCGCCGGGTGAGGCGTCTCCGTGTAACCAGCCGCCCCGCCCCAGAGGTGGCTGCATCTCAGCGCTGGGCAAGGGGTCCCTGGGTAACCGGCCGCCCCGCCCCAGAGGTGACTGCATCTCAGCGACGGGCGAGGGGTCCCTGGATAACCAGCCACCACTCTGTGGCCGCTTTGGGATTGGCTGGGTCGGTTTTATGCTTGTTGATTAAAATGTTAACGAGTGCAAGTCGGAGTCCAGGGGGACCCTCCAGCCACCCCCGCACCCCGTTCCCCATTCACCCTGGGCCGGGTAAATTTAGGAACGTTCCAGGTTTTTGATCCAAACTCTCTGACGTGCCGGGCAGGCCCCGTCCCAAACTGGGGGTCCCTGCCCCCATAACTAACGGGGACGAAATCGAAGATGGGAACCTGTGGGCTGGGAAGGGAAGCAGGACTCCTGGGTTCTCTCCCCGGCTCTGGGAGGGGAGTGGGAGCTGATGGGCTAGAGCAGGGGGGGCTGGGAGCCAGGACTCCTGGGTTCTCTCCCCGGCTCTGGGAGGGGAGTGGGAGCTGATGGGTTAGAGCAGAGGGGGCTGGGAGCCAGGACGCCTGGGTTCTCTCGCCGGCTCTGGGAGGGAGTGGGGGCTGGTGGGTTAGAGCAGGGGGGGCTGGGAGCCAGGACTCCTGGGTTCTCTCGCCGGCTCTGGGAGGGCGTGGGGGCTGGTGGGTTAGAGCAGAGGGGGCTGGGAGCCAGAACTCCTGGGTTCTCTCCCCAGCTCCACCACTAAGCTGTTGTGTGATCTTAAGTCACGTCACCATCTTGTGCCTCAGTTTCCCCTCCCAGCCTCTGTCAGGTTTTCACATTGTGTGTGTCTCTCCCCCCCCCCGCCATAGTTCATCTAAGAGAGGGAAAAGGGAATCCAGATGCCCAGGCCTCAGAGTAGAAATTAGCATTTATTGATTCATTAGTTAAAAAGAAATTGACCAAAAAAATTGTCAAATCAATTGATTTTTCCCATGAAGTGACAATCCCGCTCGCCTGCTCCTCCCAGCCAATCAGAACCCAGGCAGCCTGTGATAGGACAAGGTTTAGCCTAGTGCCCGCCAACTCCTCAGCATCAGCCAATGAATGAAGAGCTCTCCTCCCACTGGCTAGAAAGTTGGTCCCTGGGCAAGAACTCCCTTGACCAATGACAGCAGCCCCCCAGAGACAGCCTTCTGATTGGCCACCAGCTCAGCCAATGGGGGAGGAGGGACTCCTGCTTTGCCATTGGTTGCAGATCCAGGCCCGCTTTGTGCCCAGCCAATGAGTGATGGGCATGCCTAAAGCCCAGCTCTCCGATTGGTCAGCACTTGGCAAAGTCAATGCCACCGCTCCTGTTCACCTATTGGCTACGTCTCCCAGCCAATGGGGGGAATGCGTGCTGGAGAAAGCCACGCCCAAACACAGGAGGCGGGGCTTGAGTGACAATCCAGCTGGGGGGCATGGCCAGGAGGCCTGGTGATGGGGAGGGGGAGCCATACTGTTGTGGGGAAGTGGGGGGACCAGTAGCCCTGGTGCTGGGGGGGTTGGGGGACTGCCAGGGTGCTGGGGGGGGGGGGTCAGAGAGCCATCGCCAGCCAGCCAAGGATCAGGAGGGAGCCCCCGTAGGGGGCCGCTTTGTTGAAAGTCGGGTCTCCGCTCCACGCGTGGTAATACAGGGGTCCACAGAAGAGCCCCATCCCGGAGGTGAGCAGCGCGCCAGCCTGGGGGAGGGGGGAGGCAGAGGAAACGGGGGGGCACCGTCAGACAAGTGGGTCCCATTGGGGGGGATGTCTAAGCCACCCCACCCCCACCATCCCCAGTTGGTCTCAGCACAAGAAGATAAAAGCTCTGCTATAGCGGCCGGATGGGGGAGCTGCTCCCTTGGTTGAAGGGGAAGGTCTTGGGGTTCACAGCCTGCTCGTGGCACCCCAGGGGGGAGGGAAGATCTTACGGGGTAAATGGGGCAGAGGAAGATGGGGGCAGATTGAGGGGAGGAGGGGGGTTCACAGGGGGGCCTGTGGGATTTGGGTGCAGGGGTGGGAGGAGGGTGAAGGGCTAGATCTTAGCAACTGGGAGGCTGATGGGTCGCAGTGGGAGGTACAGGGCCCAGCCCCACCAATCCAGAGGGCTGCCGGGAGGGCAAACAAGGGTCCCCTGGAAGTTGAGGTCATCGGGGTGCCACCCCCCCCCCAAGACAGAGGCACCCCCAGGCTACGCACCAG